TGTATATAAGCAATTCGCAGACACAATGGCCTTTCTATGATGAATACATTTAGACATTTTTAGTTCAAAAAGATGATAATATTTATGATTTCAAATTCCTGACATATAAAAAAATAAAAAGGTAAACTTTTATTTACAATAATAATTAATATGTCTTCACTCAAATGCATTGCAGGTCCAAGAAGAATTATGATATTACTTTTTTATAACACATGAAATTACTAGTCATTAAACTGAAAATTTTCTTGACCAAAACTGGAATACAAAAATTACATTTCTAAGAATGTGGCACATAAAAAAATTCCAATCCCATGACTGTCATAAGCAAATTCTCAGTTATTCTCACATCCCGACTTCTTCCATTCACCCTTTTAAAAGTGATCTCTGTAATTGTGGAGTTTCAAACAGACCTGATTCAACATGTTGAGCAATTAGAACGGTAACACATGAAATTAATAAAGGAACGACAGCCCTACTGTCTCTGTATCGATGCCAATGGCATCTAATGAGGCTTCAGAGCCCTAAGGTACACCGGTCCCATTTCAGTTGTGTACTAAATGTTTAACTTCCATGCAAATAAATTAATCACTTGCACCAACACAAATAAGCATACAGTTGTTCAAAAACATCCCATAAATTGAGTTTGGTCATTAAGGCAGTGTACCTTCAATAGAAAAACAGACCTCATTCACTTTCAGTATATTGAAAGTGTGCACATGATATTCTTCAAAACAATAATGTTTTGTTTTCCACAGAAGAAAAAAGTTATGCAGTTTGTAACAACATTGGGGTGAGTAAATGATGACAGAAGTATTAGTTTTAAGTGAATTATTCCTGTCATGGAGAGTGACAGAATTTTTTATTAAGCTCAAAGCTGTTACCAGCGTCACCATCACAAAGCTTACGACGTCACTAGAGGTAAAAAAGCTGATGGGGTTTACCAGCTGGGTGATCCCAAAAACAGAGGAACAGATGCTAATGATAAAGTGCAGCTGGGATGAGATGTTGCCATTGTTTTTTTTGTTTGTTTGTTTTTTGTCCCCCTGAATTCATCCTGTAACAGATGTGTTCCATTAAACTAGTGCATCCCAATATGCTTACTTATGCACTATTCTGTGCCATTTTTAGTATAAATAGTAAGAGTAGTGTGTTCACACCCTATGGTTCACACCAAAAATTCAGAAAATAAAAAGTGCACTAGAAATTACGTACTGGAGGGGGCGGGGCTATCAGACTCTGACGTTGATGACAAAATAGCATTATATAATTCATACACTAGGTGGTTGAATAAATACTGCATGAAGTGTATAGTGCGTCACTCATTACACAACTCTACTCAAAGCAGAAAACTTAAAAGGATAGTCCATCCAAAAATCAAAAATCTGTCATCATTTAGTCATCAAAATATAAGTGAAATAATGTTCCATCGTCATTCATCATAACAGATATATTTATGTAAAAATGAACAACATACTTAGGCTTCTCTGGCCTGTAGCCTACTTATTAAAATATATAAAAGAAAAAGTGATCATACTAAATTGTATTTAAATGATTAAAAACTTCTTGGTGACAAAAATAAAGAAATAAAAATAAAGCAGTATTAAACTTTTATTGTTTTGATGCTTAAGCCCCACACATAATCAGATAGCTAATGGTCATAAACGTAGGTATATGCCATATTTAATCAATATGGATGCATTAGTCCATCACCAGTTCCGTCAGTTGATACACACTCACGTGACAGAAATATTGATTCAATCACGAGCGTATTATCAAAAATCCACTAACGTTACTTCACCTTCAATTCTGTAAATAGGCCTACACCATCGCAATCACCGTAGCCTACATAATAGTGCAGGCATAAGCATTCTCAGCTCTAGATTATATCGATCGGAAAGAGCCTACATTAAGTACTATTCAATTGAATACGAATAATATTAAGTTATGTAACAGATACTGGTGTATTATTACCTCGTGTCTTGAAAATGGAGGTTGCTCGTATAGCAGCACAGTCTTTGGTTTCCAAGGAAACGGAATTTACTCTTCCTCTATTACTGAACCACGACCTTCTCATATTAATGCAGTGTTATTCCACTAATATTCTAATCCTAAATGGGTAAAAGCGTCAAATTAAGGAGCATCTTCTTAAACTCCGTCCGATGACTGATGAAAACTATCCATCTCACTCAAAACTAGAGCACAGTCTGAAGCGTTACGCCTTTCAAGAGATATATAGCTACCACAGTGTTACCTAATGATTTACGATATTTGCTAGTAAAGATAGTAAGGTCAAACTTCCAAAGGGTGGTCACTTAAACCATTTATTTATTTACTCGGTTTTGTTTTATAATTTATTATTTAGGCTATAATTATGAGATATTATTAAAATAACTTAAAAATATTAAAAATAAAATAGGTAAATGTACTAAAATAATGTAATATAAAAAAATATATATATATATTGACTCAAATATAAAGTAGCCTAATATTTTTTTTTACCAATTAAAATATATTTTACATCATTCAGTTAAAAAGCAGGTTATGTGTAGGCTATGTGTAATGGACAAATTAACTAAAACCACTGACACAAATTACTTTTTTTTTTTTTTTTTTGGACACTCGAATGATACTGAAGGATGATATTGCCTATCCCGTTTGCAGTCACAGAAAACACTACAGCAGTAGTTTATGTATCTGCCATGTAAAACGAGATGTATTTCTGATAACATACAGCAGCATCGCTTGGATCTTAACCGTGGTGTAGCCGCATTTTCTGAATGAAATAAAGTGTGTTCTGCCTCACTACACAGGCTATTATGTAACCGCGGATGTCTCCTTGAGAAATGACACTTGAAGTGTCGTCTTAATACTAAATAACAGCCACTTAATGTCCTCATAAACCAGTAAGTAAATAGAGACACAGAGGCTGCGGCTGCTCTTACCGCATCACAGGGAAGTGCTGCATCGGCTCGGCCGATATGGGGAAGCGACAGAAGAAATGCATCGGCTGTGGCTGGAGACTGAGGAAAGCTGGAGCTAAACTTCATTTTCGGATCAAGAAAACACGGCTTGAAATCGCTGCCGCCAACCAAACCGCTTGCGAGAGGAATTGCGCTTCGTTTCTCAAACGCCATCGGATGAATCGCTGACTTTGGGCTGGGGCTGTCAGGCAGCGAGGCCGGACAGACTGCTCTTGATGTTTCCTCAGTTACCGTACGAACTGTACAACACAGGCACAGCAACACAGCTCTGCCCATTCACTGCACACATACAGACACAGCAGCACTTCCCATTCACTCTCTAACACAAACACACCACACAAACACAGTGACTCCCTCTTCACTTGATTCAATCTCTCTTTAACAATGTGACCCATGGATAATGAGGCAATATTTGTGTTTCCTCTGATTTTTTTAAGACTAAGGGCCTAAGACTAATTCTGTCAGGACCACTATAGTCAAAGATGATTGACAATTAGCATACAGTTTGGATTGGCGGTATGGTTCTGTTTTGGGCAAGAACTCCCTGCTCCTCCATGCAGCCTAGCATGGATGAGAGCAGGGAGAGCAGCGATAGGCCCCCCAGGGTAAACAGAACAGAACTAACATAAATGTATTGCAGATATTGTTAAAGTTCAATCATTTTATGTACACCTTTTAGAATTAGTCTGATTCAAAGGAGAATCAGAAGGCTGAATCCTGACTGACAGAGGAGGAGTTGGGGATGGAGGAAGGTACTTAGCTATTGAGCAATGCGAAAACTGCTGATAATACTGAGGGACCTTATATATGAATGCTTAGATAGGTGTCGTATTCCCATAGGTTGATGGGGATCAGCTGATGCGAGCTTGACTAACGTGACCTGCCAGAACTAACGCTACGCTTGATGTCTAAGGGCCTAATCTGGTTTTAAAAGTAAGCACCACCTGATTAAATAATCTAGATTTGATACATAGAAAACATGGAGAATTTAGGCACAAAATATGACACTATAGTAACAAAATATAGGTTGTTTCGTTGATAAACCCCAATACCAGGCTTCTGAAAACATGTTAAAACATGAACTTCTGAGATTATAGGCTGTCAGTTAATATTTATAACGTGACAAACAATCCTGATTTAAAGGGTTATTCAAGGTTAAATCTAAATTGAAGTCACCTGAAGTCAATGTGAATTGTTTGTGCTATAAATTAATAGTGCTAAATAAATGGTTTCATAAATAAATAAAATGGCTGTTGAGATGGTATTCTTTTTTGAAACAGAGTAGAGGCTCGGACTTAGATACAGTATTGAATACATGTCATGACTTAACAAGTGCAGTGCATAGGCTCTTACAAATCGCTGAAAGCAGAATCAACATCTTTGCAATGCAGATGTGACACATTTTGTAAATAAAACATTTGAAATGATGGGAAAAAATGAAATGAAATATGAAACTAAAACCACCAGTGTGTGGCAGCATATCATGAGTCAGTCAATAATTAATTCAGTGGTTTTGCTGTGGCTTTATTAGGAGCAATTTGCAAAACTGAGCAAAAACAGACATATTCTGCAAGTAATTCACTTAATATTATGTCAGAAATTTTGTTTAAAAAATACCTTTATACAACAGTTTGTCTG